AAAAAAAGGACACATATGTAATACCCTTTGTAATACTTTAAGCAATAAAAAAAAATGTAAAAAAAAAAAAAGAAAAACAATCAGATCTCAGATATCCATAGCCCACCTCCTGTTATGCTGACTTGATGTCCCTTCACTAGTAGCAGTCAACATTTCTCTTAACCTTCACTCAAGTCCCAGCCCCGATGGCCCTCTGCACCATGCCCAGTGAGTCTCACAGAGGACCACTCAAGCCCTTAGCTAATCCAGAAGACTGACTGCAACTCCCCATAGCCAGGTCACAAGGGTCACAACAAAATCCTGGTGAGAGTTTAGAAAAGTTGATATGTACCAGCCCTAGTCCCATGTTGTTTGAATTACTCTTCGGTCTCCAATTAACCTCAGGTCCACTCATCTTTTGAAGGTATTAGCCACTGCAAAACGATTATCTCTCCTCCACACTCTACATGACAACTTCTGTCCCTATGCTGTGTTATGACACCCACCTCCCACAAACAGTGGCCCCAGCAAGAAAGCCAGTCCTCAGGCTCACACTGTCCCTTCTGAGCTACTACCACCATTACCAACCTGACCATGATTCCTTGCTGATGTGTCTCAGTTAGCTGTGCATAGTCTCATGCACTGGTGAGGTCACATGCCTGGGCTGTTGGCTGGATCCATAGGAGTGATTGTGCAGGTGGCAACTGATCCTTGTTTCTTGCTCATCCCTGTTTCTCTCTCTCTCTCTCTCTCTCTCTCTCTCTCTCTCTCTCTCCCTTCCTTTCTACATCTAATATCAATAAAAATATATATGTATTTTAAGAAACATACCTGCAGATTCCTGATTCAGCTTGCTTTTTACTCCAAGCCTTTGCACATTCTGGAACCTATGTCTGGAGGACCTTGCACTCATTACACTGGTTGCCACAAACAAGTTCCACTTCATGAAGCCCTACTCCTGACCTTAGGAGTCTGGGCTGAGTGTCCGTTCAAAGTCCCCAGGTCCACGGATACAAAAGCAACTGACAGTCCCAGGACTCTACTCTCTCAGAGGTCACAAGGGGGTGAGGCCCTGAAAGAAGTTCCAGAAATCCGTACACCTAATTCATTCTGCATTTGCAAAAATTTGTGGATAGAAAATGGTCTGTTGACAGCCTGGCACCCACCAGGCTCTATGGGCTCAGGCTGCTCAGTACCCTTGCCCAGCCCCAAGGCCAGGTCCCCTCCAGATGCCTGTGTTATCTCAGGACTCAGTGCTCAGGGCTCACTCTGCCAGTTCCCTTATCATTTACAGGACTTCCCCTCCCTGTCCACAGCTGCTGTCCTCTGTCCTCCAGTCTGTCCTTCCTCTGAGCAATGTTAGGAAAAGTTAGAATCCGGCCTCAGAAAATGTCCCGAATTTTTTCACAACCATCTATGGCCCCAGCGTTCTGAGAGTGAAAGGAAAACTCCTCCTGTAAACCACACCTCATGTCTTTGTTGCATTTACACCCACAACAGGCCCGGGTTCCCGAGTCCTCCCCGCGCAGTCGCACCATCACGTCCTTACAAGGCGGCACTGCAGCCTTTCACCCTCTTCCCCCATCAGCCATGTGTCACCCACGAGGGACTCACCATTCTGAGCGCTGGGACCTGGGCGGCAGGACCTGAGAGGGCCGGTCCCCAAGGCTGGAGGTGAAATGGGGTCAGGCTGCGGGGACGCTGTGAGCAGAGAGGAGTCCGGGAGGCACGGGGACCCCAATCTCGGGCTGTTGTGCTCAAGGAGCCTCAGACACACCCCGCACAGCAGGCGCGCTGCCTCCCAGGCCGCCTCCTACTCACGATCAGCGCCCTGAAGCCTGTGAGTCTGTGAACAAAGACCTAAAAAGTTAAAATGTCCACCATGAGGAGGAAGGCGGAAGTCCCGCCCTAACCAGATGCGCAGACACCAAAATGTCTTTTAGCACCGCCCACATGCGTGTAGTGCCTTCTGGGTAATGTAGTTTTCTGAACCGCCCAGTGTAGTACTAGCATCCCAGCCACTGACTTAGGTGAATAAAGGTGTTGTGGCAGAGAGAGTGATGCCTGGGGAGGGAGTAGGTGGGACCAGAAGCCTGGCTAATTGGAGCAGACTAACAGATCTCTGAGGGGAAGAAGGTGGGAGGAATGCAAGAGATCCACCAAAGAATATATACAGAGGGGGGAAATGGGAGACATCGATAATACTATCAACAATAAAAACTATATGTATTTTTGTAAATTTTAAAATAATGTCGCCAAGCTGGTGTTGCTCAGCGGTTGAGCCTAGACATATGAATCAGGAGGTCATGGTTCTTTTTATTTTATTTTTATTTTTAAAATTATTTGTTTAAAGTATTACATATAGTATGACATATAACTCCTTTTTGCCCCATTGAGCTCTGCCCAGCCACTCTCAGGCCTCAGCACATGCCCTTACCCCCCACATAGTGTCTATGTCCATTGGTTATGCTTATATGAATGCATATAAGTCCTTTGGTTGATCTCTTAGGCAACTAATCAGCAGTTCTCTCTCATCGTTGATGTTATTATCTCTCCCTCTCCCTTTCACTCTCTAAAATCAACAAAAATATTTTAAACAAAGTATATACATATATGCATAGGCCATGGATATAGACTATACTGTGGCAAGGGACTAGAAGCATTGGGGGCAGGGTAGAGGGAGAAAAGTGGGAAGGAGTATGGGGGAAATTGGGAACATCTGTAATATAGTCAGCAATCCTATGTAATAAAGAGCTAATACGCAAATGGTCATTACACCCTCGCACTCTTGCGCCCTCATGCTGGGGCCGGTGGACTTGAGGCTGGGCCGGGGGATATGAGGCTGTGTCCCCAGCCCCAGCAGGGCTTGACAGGGGACCTGAGGATGGGCCGAGAGACCTAAAGCCATGTAGCCCTGAGGCCAGGCCTGGGGTCCTGAGGCTGCGCCCCCCACCCAGCGGGGCATGTTGGGGACCTGAGTCCACGCCCTCCACCTCTCTCACTGGGGGACCTGTGGCAGGGCTGGGCTACCTGAGGCTTCTCCCCCACCCCCCTGGTGCCTGTGCTGGGAGAAGGGCCACGCCCCCCGCCCTGGCACCAGGGCCGGGGGACCTGAGGTCGCATTTCCTGCCCCGGTGCTGGGGCAGGGGGACCTGTGGCTGTGCCCCTGCCTTGGCACTGGGGCCAGGGGACGTGAGGCTGCATCACTCACACCAGCTCTGGGGCCAGAGGACCTGAGGCTGGGCAGGGAGACTTGAGGACACGCCCCACGCCTGGGCACCAGGGCCAGAGGACCTGAGGCCAGGCTGGGGGACCTGAGACCGCATCCTCTACCCCAGCACCGGGGTTGGGGGATCTGAGGATGCATTTCCCTCCCTGGCACTGGGGACGAGGGACCTGAGGCTGGGCCAGGGGACCTGAGGCCACACCCCCTGCCCTGTGGGGCTTGACAGGGTTGGGGCCGGCTGGGTCTGGGTCTCTCACGATTTTGAGACATGCACAGATGGGCAGGAATTTGACTATGGGTCCCACGGCGCGCCACCAACTCTGACAGAAGGGAGATTTTCATATACATTTTACTGATTTTCTTTCATCTCTGGCACTTCTTTTATAAAGAGCAAATAGCAATATTAAAATATTTCCTCTAATTAATTCCCTTTTAATGTGCACGTATTTTTTGCACCGGACCACTAGTCTATATGTATAAAAAGGCAGCTACCATAAAGGCCATAACGATCTAACAACCAGTCACTATGAAGCCTACTGTGGCCAGCTAACTGACCCGATCAGCGAGTGGGGTTGATGGCCAAACTCGTGGCCCCTCCCCCTGCGGCCCGCCCCTGATCAGACTCTCCCACCCCGATTAAGAGCAGGGTGTGCCGGCCAAATTCCCCCTATCTTCCCCCTGGTCATACGTGCCCCTGATCAGCCTGCCCCATCACGATAGGCCTGCAGCCCCTCCCCCTGGCCAGCCTTCCCCTGATAGCACCCTCCCCAACCCACTAGGGGATGGGGCTGGGCGGTCAACCTGCAGCTCCTCGCCCTGTCCAGCCCCAGCCCTGATCGCCACCCCACCTCAATAGGGGGTGGGGCTGACCGGCCAACCTCCTGCAGCTCCTCCCCAAGCCAACCAGAACCCAGATGGGCCCCCACCACCCTGATGGGCCCACAGCCCGTCCCCCTGGCCAACCCTCACCCCTGATTGCCACCCCACCTCAATAGGGGGCAGGGTTGGCTGCCAACCTTCTGCAGCCAGCTCCCCCTGGCTGTCCACACCCCTGATGGGTCCCCACCACCCGCATCAGACCACAGCCCATCCCCCTGGGCTGGGCCCACCCCTGACAGCCCTCCCCCCATCACAATAGGGGGCAGGGACAGCTGGCCAACCACCCATGGCCCCTCCCGCAGGCCACTGGTCCCAGATCGGCACCCTCCACCCACCCCATTTGGGGGCGGGGCCGGCCAGCCCACAGCCCCTCCCCATGGCCTTCCCCACCCCCAGTTGGCCCCCCAAGCCCAATCAGGGGCGGGGCCTGCCAGCCAATCACCCCAGCCCTTTCCCCCAGCTGGCTCGGCCTGGATCAGGGGCCCTGATCAGGCCCTGATCCAGGTGGGCTGGCCAGCAACCTCCCACCATCTCCTCCTCCTGATGAGCCCAGCCCCAATCCACCCTGATTGAGGCTGGCCGGCCAGACCCTACCCGTGCACGAATTCGTGCACTGGGCCTCTAGAAAAAATAATAGTGTGTACAGCTAGTGGGGGTTCAGTGGTTGGGCATGTACCCAACAACCAACATATCACTGGTTTGATTCCAGGTCAAGGCACATACCCAGATTGGAGGCTCCATCCCAGTGGGGGAATGCTGGAGGCAGCTAGTCAATGATTCTCTCTCATCATTGATGTTTCTTCCTCTCCCTTTCTCTCTAAGAAATCAATAAAGACATTTGAAAAATGAATAGTGTTGATTTGCCTCAACAACAACAAAGTGATTGTGGGCCATCACGTTTTCTTCCAACTCTTGTAAGCAAAATCATGTCTTGTTCTGTCTTCATACAGGATGTCCCAGGCATAACTTTTAGGGAACAGGAACCAGCCTGGAACTGGTCTGCCTCAGCTTGGCCTATAGTGTTTGAGTACTTGACTTCATGCAGAAAAGATTTCACAACAGGAGTTCAGAGATTTTGAGAGAACATTTATTAAAAATGGAGATAATGAAAAATATCTAGGGCTTAGGCTAGAACAAGGACCAGCAGAGAGACTAGGTGGGGCTCCTATGGCTCTCTAGAAACACCACTGTGAGTTCACTGGAGAACCAGAGAAAAGGAGGCCTTGAGCACAGGTTCAGGGGGTTCTCCTAGGATGAGCTGTTGCTGCTCATTGCTGCCTCGGTTGCAGGTCGAGTAGGATCCCTTAATAGCTTAGGAGAGCCTGGCCGGTGTGTTTCAGTGGTTGAGCACTGACCACCTAACCTGGAGGTCACAGTTGCATTCCCAGTCAGGACACATGCTCAGGTGGTGGTCTGGATCCCCATTGTGAGGCATGCAGGAGGCAGCCTATCAGTGATTCTCTCTCATCATTGATGTTTCTATCCCTCACTCCC